GGTTTTGGGGTTCCACATCAGCCTGAACCTGACCATCCTGGCAGGTGGGATCTCCCCTGGATCCCTTCTAGGATGGGTTTGGGATTGGGTTTGGGGCATCCACGCACAGCAAGGGCCACAGCCATTTCCACCCTGTACTGTAAACTAGATTTTTTAATATATTTAAATATAAATATATAAAATTATTTAAATATATTTATGTGTTAATTTATTTCTTATTTATAATTATGAAAGCAGCCAGATTTGGGTGTCTGTCCCAAATCAGCTGTCCATAAATGTGAAGTGTCTGACCCAAATCAGCTGTCCATAAATGTGAAAGGAAACTCTCCCCTGCCTGTTGGAATCCACAGGGTTGGAAATTCTGGGGAAGGGCACAGGGGAATGTCAGAGTGAACAGGTTTTGGAGAAGGTGAAGGAAATAACTTCTTCATTTTTAGCTGTGTGTGGATATTTCTGAGTTATTATAAGCTAAAATAAATGAATCTTTAGCATATTCAGGAGCATGGCCTGAGCTACTTGCAGAGCCAGAAGGCTGGGGCAGGTTTTGGGGTCCTGTGTGCTCACCCTGCTCTCTCCCTGCAGAAGCCCCCGAGCCAAACCCACCCCAGCTGATCCGAGGGGAACTGCACGGCTCTGTCACCGTCCTGTGCCCCTCTGGGGACACCCGAGGGGACAACCAGAGCTTCTGGTGCAAAATGGGCAGAAGCAGATGCATCCTGGTGGCCAACTCCGATGGTTATGTGGGCAGGAGGCACCAAGGACGGATCCTCATCACCCCCCGGCAGAGCTCCGGGGTTTTTAAGGTGCTGATGAACGATTTGAAGGAGGAGGATTCGGGGCTGTACGTGTGCGGGACACGAGGGGCTCAGCACAGCCAGCTCGAGGTGGTGCTGCAGGTGGCCGCAGGTAGGACAGGGGTGTAGAAAGTGTTAATAGTTTATATAAGAATTATCTTGAGACAAAAAAGATTAAAATGTAGAATTAATAATACAAGCAACTTACAATTATAAGCATTACTAATACTGTAGCTTTTACAAACCTACCAATCCTAAGCTGTTAAATAAAAAGTAACAACCTCACTAACCAAKGTATATTTGACACAAATATATGCACTAGTTGCTAAAGTAGATAAAAAAAAGCTTGTCCCACAATAAAGTTCTTCTTTCTTTCTGTTTTTTCACCCACTTTTGTGTATTTTATATCTATTCTTTATGTCAGCTATCTAGCCAACAATGACACTGGGGGGGCTCAGGGTGCCGGGCTCRCTGCTGTGGTGAGGGTTTGTTGGTTTGGGTTTAATTTCTGATGTAAATTCACCCGGTAATATCGGAAATCTGAGCAGAACCCAGCGTTCCTCATTGCTGCCCTAAAACCCGGCGGGTTTGGGATGGGATGGATCCCCCTGGAGGGGCAGGACTGAGGATCTCCGCTTCCCCGACACCTCAGCTGCTTTTTCGGGTTTGAAAACCCATAAAATCCTAATTCTGCCCCCTTTCCTGCAGCCTCCACCCTTCCCAGGAGACCCAAATTCCTCAGCGGCATCATCGGGGGCTCGCTGTCCTTCCAGTGCCACCACAACCCCGGGAGGACCTACCAGAGGAAATACCTGTGCAGGTGGAAAGCTGGGAGCTGCTCGGTGCTGCTGGACGACAAGGGATTCGTGCTGGAATCTCACCGAGGGCGGGTGGAGATGATCGGGAGCGATCCCAAGAACGGGAGYTTCGCGGTGCGGCTGCGGCGGCTGCGGCTGGAGGATGCGGGGTGGTACTGGTGCGGGGCCAGCAGCGGGGACAGCGAAATCACGGCGCCCCTGAAGCTGYTCRTCCRCACGGGTGRGTGTTGGCACGGCCTAAAGGAGYCCAAAATGATGCCTGAAAKAGAGGACAGACRAARTGAAGRGAATAAAGCAGATAAATTTAATCCTGGTCTGCTGGTGCATTCAGGGCAGACAAAACCTCCTCCTGAGGCTGCACCCAAAATGGACCCTGAGCCATGAAATCTTCACCTTTTATAGGTTCTGTCTCATTCGGGCCCCAATTCTTCAATTTCACCTACAGCTGATGGTGCCAACAACCCCAATTTGCTCCCCCCAATTCTCCATATTTTGTTGTTGTTTCCATATTTTTAGGCTC